GGATTTCTGGGCAAAAATTTCTCATCTTTCTCCTATGGAAGAGCTGAAATTAATTTCAATTATCAGCAATCTTTTGGTATTTTACTTGATTGTTTTACTAATGTATTAGAAGTACTGTAAAGAAAAAAGCAGGGTCAGGACTAATGCAGAACCTAAATAAAAGGTTTTTTTTTTTTTCCAAAAAATTATGGATATTTCATTTACTTGCCAGGAATAAAAGCAATTATTAGATATATATTCAAGTAAACAAAGTTTAGAACTCAAGTCATAACTTCTTATAAAAGTTAAATGTACTTTACCTAAAGGAAGGTGGGATATATTCAGGAGGCAAAACAGGCGGCAATGGCTGACCAGACATTGCTACATCAATCAGGTGCATAGCCAGGATGAATTCTTCTGCTGTAAGTTTCCCATCTTGATCAATGTCAGAAAGATTCCTAATTCAACAAAAAGTTAAGTGTCATCTTTCTTCATAAAAATTCAAAGAAATGAACTGAGTCTTCTTGTACCTTAGTTTGAAGAAATAATATCTATTTCAAACTACTATTGCAAAGATAAAATGAAATAATCTTGATAATGTTGCTGTCATGCACCATTAAGTTGGAACCAACTCATAGCTGACCTTCCAGCAGGGTTTTAGAGGCAGTAAATCACAAAGAAGACTGCCTTTCTCCTCATAAAGCAATTGATGGATTTGAACTGCTTACCTTTGGGTTGGCAGTATAGCTCCTTACTACTGTTGTTGTTATGTGCCGTTGAGTCACTTGTGACTCACATCAACTCTACGTACAACAGCCCTAAACTCGGCTCTGTCCTGTGCCAATCGCACCATCTCCGACACACTCATCCCGATTATCCCAGTCTCTGAATCAATTCACCTCCTAGAGGGCTTTCCCCTCCTGCGTTGTCCCTCCACCCTACCAAGCATGATGTCCTTCTCCAAGGACCGGTCTTTCCTTAAAACATATCCAAAGTATGTTAGACAGAGCCTCAGAATCCTTGCCTCGAAGGAGCTGCCCGGTTTAACCCTTTCCAGGATGAAGCTGTTTGTTTTCCTAGCAGTCCATGGTATTCTCAATACTTTTCTCCAGCACCACAGCTCAAAGGCATCAATTCTCCTTCTATCCTCCTTGGCCATTGTCCAACTCTCTGATGCATAACAAGTGATAGCAAAGACTACCAGAATTCCCTAATTCTTGTTCTAGGAATAATCTACATTACTCCTATAGATTACCTACTATTATAATTGTTACCTACTAAATGTTACCTACCATTATAATTACTATTTATGATTCTAAAAAACCTACTTAAAATATATCATATATTCAGAGTCTATGTATCGTTAAGCTCTGTGATCTAGACCAAGGATTAGCAAAGGTTTTCTGTAGATAATGAATACTCTATAGGCTTGGCAGGCTATATGGCCTCCATACACCTTCTCTACTTGAACCCGCTGTTAGAGCAGGAAAGCAGTCACAGACCATTCACAAAGAAAAGGGACTGATTATTAAAATAAAGCTTCATTTATGTGAACTGGTGCATGCAGATGAGTAGTCTGGGGTCAATTCTCTAAAATAATGGGAGCACAGTAATGAGAAGAGCAATGATGAGAAAACTGACATAAAATGAGGGATTTAACCAATGTCACTAAACATTACATGCAGAAATTGTGGAATGGAAACTTGTTTTTAACTGTGTATATATTCACCAAAAATTCAATACCATTTATAAAAAAAGAATAGATAGACACTGATCTAAGTCATCAAGGGCAAACCTTCAGTGCATTCAGCCAAAAAAGTCAAGGCATTTTCTCCTCCTTATTCTTGGAATTTGACATGAACATGTCCAATAAATAGGTTTCCTTACCAAGTTTTAAAATGTCATTTTACTTGCTAGCTTCAGGACACCAAAAGAGGATGAAAGACAACAAATCTGTACACAAGAATGTCAGCAAGACCAATGCTACCTTAGGAAACTGCTTGTCAATGACATAAATCCAGAAACTTTGCTCTTATTTTAAATTCCTTTAAGATACCATAAGCCATGTTTTCTTCTTTCATTAAGATATAATTTACATCAAAACAACTATGAGATATCTCACCCCAGTCACAATAGCAAAATTCAACAGAGCAGCAAGCAACAAATGTTGGCAAGGTTATTCACTATTGGTGGGAGTATGAAATGGTGCCACCACTCTGGAAGGATGTATGGAGCTTTCTCAAATAGTTGAAAACAGAAATATAATTTGATCCAGCAATTCCACTACTAGGAATATACTCTAATGAAACCAGAAATACCATCCAAACAGATATATGCACACTCATGTTTATTGCTGCTTTGTTCACAATAGCAAAGAGTTGGAAACAACCCAAGTGCCCATCAAAAAATGAATGGATAGAGAAGCTGTGGTATATTCACACAATGGAATACTATGTAGCATTGAAAAACAGGGAACTCATGAAATATTATACAAAACAGATGACCCTTCAGGACATTATGCTGAGTGAAATATCTCAGTAACAAAAGGACAAATACTTCATAATGCCACTGTTATAAAACAGAACTGACATCAGGTTTGGGAGGAACCTAAGAAAAGAGGAGATAAATAATGTACAATGCATTGAAACAGATGAGGAAGAGAACTGTTTAAAAGGGATATATGATTAGGTATTATTTGCATGACAAGAGTCCAGAATAGGAGTGGACTTAGGGGTAGGAGGTTGTATAACAATGTAAGATTTTTTTTGTTTTCTTTTCAAAGAGAAAAGCAAACTGGGAAGAGGGGTGGTCAGGGAGGAAAATGTGCAACAATGAATAAATGGAAATTCAAGTTCTCTGTAATCTTTCATTAAAATCTCAATAAAAAAGATAATTTACATATAAAAACTGAATCCTTTTAATAGTGCAATTCTGACAAATACATACAACTGTATACCTACATCCAAAATATATAGTTTCACCACCACAAAAAAAAAATCTCCCCAGGACTCTTAATAGCCATCTGTCTCTTTCTCTTATCTGCAGACCCTGGTAATCTATGACCACTTTTCTGTCCCTCTAATTTTGCCTTTTCCAGATGTCAGAGACCCATTTTTAAACATCACAGACTGATAAATGATACTCTCTGCTTGCCCTTTTTCATTCCCTTTTTTCTTTTTGAGCCCTACCAGTTGCCACATCTAGATAAATTAGACTAGAAAGCCAAGTACGATTATTTTATTTCCTGCCCATACTTACAAGAATTAGGCTACACACATTTAATTAAAATACGTTTTTAGCGTATAGAAGAATAACAATAAATTTCTAACAGAAGAAACTTCAATAGAAGTCTTAAAGAGGGTAGATTATAAATGAGAAATGAAATACTCATTTCAATACACTTTCATACCATTTTTACCTTCTAATAAATTATCCATCAATCTCCAGAAATGTTAGGTCTTCAGTTTATATGACAGAGGGACTTAGGATGCTGGAACCTATCCAGATTTACAAGGTTTAGGGCATCATAGATTTTTAGGTCTATTATTAACTGGCTTATCCTACTGCAAAAGGCAAACCTTTCAATCTAAGGAAGTGGGACTGGAGAGGGGAACGGGCAGCAGTAGAATCGAACAACCTATGGAGCAACCAGATTCATTTGCTCAGCAGGAAAATAACGAGCCATTCTGTGAGCAGTACAGACCACATTTTATACTCTAGAAGAAACAAAGCTAGCACAGAATGAAAGATGTGCCTTCTTAAGATACCATTTTAGTAACATTTAAATGTAAGGACTCTTAAAGTCGAGGTAATGCTCAGCAAAGGGTACTAAAATGATAAAAAGACAGCTCAAGAGATATTATATGTCTCTTGCTGAATCAAACACTACCCTTCTGATACACTCTTGCTTTTCATGCTAAATACAATGAAACTTGAATCTGATCAAGCCTCCAGGTCAGTGGTTGTCCTTCATTTAGGCATGTTTTATACTCCAGAAGGCACTTAGCAAAAGCTGATGACATTTTTTGATTGTGACATTTGGAGGCAGGAAGCATACTACTAGTATTTAGCAGGTAGGGGCCAGGAAAGCTTTAAATACTCTGCAATGTACCGGACATTCCCCACAACTAAGAATTATCCATCTCAAAATGTCAATAGTGGTGAGGTTGATAAATTTTACACTAGATTCAATTACAAATTTATAGGGAATACAGGAAACAGAGGAACAAATTAAGCACCACCGATACCACAGGGATGCATACATAACAATTTTTTGACAGTAAGACACTATAGGACAATTTTCCCTTTTTCCAGAATGTGGAGGATAAGAGAAGTAGACAAATTAAAGGAGACTGGTTTTCAGAATCAATTCTGGGCAAACAACAAGGAAGGTGTCCACCACTGAAAAGTATAAATTTTCATCCTGAAGTAAACAATAAAACCATTAAAAATTATGAGGTCATTTAATGATAAAGATTACTATTAATATTTTTACATAGGTTACTAATTTCTGTTAATATTGTACGTGGGTTACTGTTTGTATAGAAGCCCTGGTGGTGCAGTAGTTAAGCACTCATAAACTAACAAAAGTTTGGCATGTTTAACTCATCATCTGTCCTGCAGAAGAAAGATGGAGTGGTCCGCTTCCATAAAGATTTATAGACTTATAAACTCTAGGGGCAACAGTTCTACTCTATCACTCAGAGTGGCTGAGTTAGAAGGCAATTGCAGTGAATTTAGTTTGTTTGGTACTGGTGTTACGATTATACTTTGAAAATATAACTTGTCTATCTCATTTTAAGGATACATGCTAAAACAGTTGCAGCAGAAATGAAATGACAGAAATTTGGCTTGAAATAATAAAGGGAAAAGACCTGACCATTAGTTGAGAATTGTTTAAACTTTCAAGAATTCTTAAGAATTTATTATATTCCACAGGGTTGTAGAGTTTAGTGGGTGGAAGAAGGGGGTGAAGTAAATAGGAAAGATCCAGTAGGGATTTGAAAAGATGTAACAGGATGGGAATGATTGTAAGAAATACAGTGTGAATGGGGGGGGGGGACCCACACACACTTAAAAATAATAATTTTTTTTAAAAAAAAGTTTACTATATGCATCTCTATTTTTATTGTTTTCACAATTAAAAAAGGGCAGGTGGAAATCAGAGAAGCGAAACCACAACACACTGAAAATTAATTTCCTCAATTATCCCCTGTAAAAAGGATAATACTGGTTATAAAGCCATACCAATCGAAAAAATAAACCTTCCAATTCAGACAAACCAAACATATTTCATTCCTTACCATATTGAAGCCAGCTGAGCCTGTGGTAAACTTGATTGCATAAGAATAGTTCTTGCTTGGGGACCTACATGGAAACCAAGAAAAAAAAGATAAAGAGATGAATCAGCAAATTCTCACTTTCAGGAAGTCAGCGCTGAAGACATGTTTTGTGTTGTCTTGGCATTAACAGTGATTTAAATAATATTTGCTATCACTGCAGAGCCTTTTCAAACAGGAAATCAAGTCCGAGGGAAAAAGGGAAGAAACATTAAGGACAAGAACAATGTCTGACACACAACATGCCCTTCACAAAAGCTCATCAAATGACAACTTGCTAGTAATGAGTAATTAACATATAAAGATTAGAGTTTCAAGATATGATCTGCCCAAAATAATAAACTTTTGTCCAGTCACTAATTCTATTTCTATCTAGTTGTTTTCAAAGCTGAAATTTATTCTGCCTAAAATCACTTTCTTCTGTGACTGCTCACTAAGCCCACCATCAGACAAATTAAGCGATAAAAAAAGAATCTTTGATACCCTCTTCTAATCACTTCATTGTACAAATTCTAAAAAAAATTTATTTTGTAAAGAAATTAGCTTGCACAAATGGTTACAACTCAACCTGGATTAAGACACTTTTCCTACAATAATAACTAAAAAGAATTTCTAAAGTTTCAACATGCTTCCTTTAAAAAAATTAGCTGTCATTTCTTTAAAATACTTCTCTCTCACTTTTGGCCTGAAATTAGACTAAGATACAAGACAGAAGTTATAATGGAAGATTTTGGTCTCAAAAATCAATAAATGGAAAACTGCAGAAATTATGTTTGGAAGATTCTAGAGTATAAATGTTTGCTTTTGGCTGTTTTTTTAAAATGTGACTGTGTTCCTGCATGGCGAGAAGGGATTAGGGATCTTTGAGAACCAATACCAGAGTCCAGCATGTGAGGTCTAACTGCAGAAAAGACACAGAAGAGCTCAGAGCCTATGAGGGTGCTCAGGGTGGACCTTGCCTTGCCTGAGGCAGGGCTTTCTTCCGCTGAATGGACTCCAATTTTCTCATTTCAGAGGGCTTTTCCAGATTAAAAAATGTTATGATCCATTGCATAAGGTTTGTTGTTAGGTACCATTGAGTCAAGCATTGTGAACCATACACAACAGATCTGAAGCCTGTCCTATTCTGTGCCATTCCTTATCATCTCCAACACACTCCAGTCACTGTCAATGCATCAGGATGAGGGTCGTCTTCTCTTTCGCTGTCCCGCCACCTTTTCAAGTATAATGTCCTTCTTCAAAGAATAGCCTCTCCTAACAACATGCCCAAATGCCATGAAGCTTTGTCACCTGTGCCTCCAAAGAGGACTCCAACTACACTCTAAGACATACCTGCTTTTTCTGGCAGTTCAAGGGATTTTCTGTACTCTTCTATAACACCACAACTTAAAGGCATTAGTTCTTTTTCTGTCATCTTTATTTACTATCCAATTCTCAAATGAATGCACAGAAGTGATTGAAAAGAGTGGCCTGAATTAGGCACAACTTAGTCTTGAAACTGGCATTACTGCTTCTCAGTAATTTGAAGAGGTCCCTTACTGCAGACTTTCCCAATGCAATATGTCTCCTGATTGCTGGTACTAAGTGCACTGATTGTGGATCCCAGCAAGATGAATTTGTTGACAGTTTAGTGTACGTGTGTAAAAAATATATATATGTGTACATACATTCTTTTTCTGTGTGTGTGATTTTTTTCAAAGAGAATTGAGCATTTTTTTTGTTTGTTTCTTTTTTTTTAATTCTATACTGGTTTAAATACAAAGTTCATAAAGTTCATATACATTGTCTTTATCACCAGATCTTTCCCCTTTCCTTTACTCATCCCTCCCTCCATCCATCAAATTGTGTGACCTATTATTAAGCCCCCCTTTCCCTCCTTAGATCCTTGTACTTGCTCTACAATGATGGTCTTGTTAAAACAGGTACGTAAAATCTAATTGAGCATCTGAAGATAAAAAATGAACTCTGTAAGCAACATTTTAAGAATAAAAAGAAAGCAGAACTTTACTGTGGCAATATTCATCCACATTTGAGTAGGAAAACATGAATGCAGAGAAGAAGTATAATTACATGGAGTTAATATTTTATTTCAATCAGTTACTAAGAACTTAGATATCCTGACTAGTAATGAACAATCACATAGCATATTTACTGTTTTTGAGTGTGATATAAATAATAAACCAGCTCCCAAAGAAGAGGGGCTTGCATTAATAAAATGACTAGCAATCTACAGCTACTTACATACCCTTGACTAAAGCACAGTCTCTTTTATATGATTGTCTTTTAAAAGTATGCAACATGACACACATCAAATGATGATGAAGGACTTAACCACTGAACCACATATTTCCACTAAGTCAATTCCTACAATCAACAGGACACATGACACCACCACTAGAAGATCTTCATATTCCATACTGATCTAGCTGTTGTTTGCTAGCCCTAACAGGTGGTTTTCTAATGTCCATAACATATTCTTACAGGTGCACTCAGAATAAGGTGACAACCAAAGCAAGAATGCAAAAGTAATATGGTAAGTACCCTTACGACGCTCTCTAACGCAACAGACAAGTGCCACCACCCAAGCTGCAGGTCATGTGTAATTCTTGGAAAGCTGGCTATTTTTCTACTGACACTCCAAAGACACAGGAAAATGCAAGAGTGAGAGTGACAGTACAAGAATAAGCTATCTTTCTCCTCTAATATATTTTAAAACAGAAATTATAGACAACATCTACCACTAGAATGTCATGATCCCAAGGTTGAGACAACTGCTAGATTAAGAATTTTAATTATTTATGTGTTGTAAAAAGAATTTTTATGTCCTTAAAATAAAGAATACATATTTTTTTAAAAAAGGAGAGAGGAAATGAGAGCATTAAATTACATATTTCACCTAATCTCTTTATAAATTAGACCTTTTACAAATTTATTGATATTCTTCAGATGCATGAGTAGCAAATTTTGGGATTCTATCTTGAGATCTTGAAATACAATGACATTTTCCTTTGGAAAACAAAAAACTGCAATTGTAACTAATTGGGGGAAAAGAAGCAGTAAGACTCTGTACTTAAAAGTGTTTTGCCACATACATAATCATTGTTAATTACTCACAACAGCAAAAGATGGGAACAGCCTAAGAAGTGTCTGTCAACGCAACATGATTTGATAAAGAATAATGATGAATCCACCAAACATCTTACAATGTGGATAACATCTGAAGGACAAACGCTGAGTGGAAAACTCAATCATGGAAGGACAAATTATATATATATAATAATTTTTACACACAGAAACAAACAATAGTTTTCAGGATTGAGAGGGGAAATAACGAAGAATCTATCTATACTAACCAGAGTGAAGGGAAAGGCAATCTCCGAGTACAGTAGGCACAACCTACTGGGTCTTGATGACCCAGGCCAATCAAGACATAAACAGGTACATACATGAATAAAAAGCTTTCACAGCCATGGTTATCGCTGTGTTATTCACAATAACGAAAAGATGAAAACTACTCAAGTTCCCATCAACAAGCAAATGGATCAAAAAAACATGGATCAAAATGGATCAAAAACCCACAATGGACTACTATGCAGCACCGAAAAATAAGAAACTCATAAAATATTACACAACATGAGTGAACCATGGGAGGACATTAAACTGAGTGAAATATCTCAGTATTGAAAAAAACAAATACTGCATAATACCACTATTATGAAGTAGGACTGATATGTGGGGTTGTGAGGAGAATAGGAAACACTATATTGGAACAGATGAGAGAGAAAACTGTTTAAAAGGAATATATGATTAGGCATTATATGTAAAATAAAGGTCTAGAATAAGAGGTACATTGCAAAGAGGACTGGGGTGGGGGAAGGAGGAAATTATGCAACAATGCACAAATATTTTTTAAAAGTAAAGAAAATGAACTGGGGGAGAAGGAAGGGAGGAAAATACGCAATAATGAATGAATGAAAATCCAACTTTTCTGTAAATTTTCATTAAAAAATGACAATTAAAATTATTTTTTAAAAAGCTCACTACAGAGCATAGTTCTACCCACAGGACAAAAATAAAAGAATAAAAGGCTTGCTCTTTTACTAATTTGCTCTGTAAATGTTCATCCAAATAAAAATTAAAAGGCGTTTTTTTTAAAAAATAAAAAGACGGGCAATTATGCTCAACTCTATAATATACACAATCTTGCAACAACTTTAACAACAAATCATAATTTGTCAACATATAACTGATGACACAAAATGTTAAAAAATAAGTTTTCCATTATATACCAGGGCTTCTGTTCCCCTCTTCACCCCCGAAAAAGAAACCTCTTATTCCTTCTTTACTTTCATGTTGTTAAAAGGCAGTTAGTTGCATGGTTTTCCTTTATATTTAATATTTGTATCAGTGTTCTCTATTTTTCTTAATTATAATTATACTTTTCTTTCCAAATCACCGATCAATTTTAATTGCTTAACCATTCATGAAAAAGGCCTCTCAACAGTATCCAAAAATCCTCCTCCATCCATTTGATAACAAAATCACTGTTCTGTGGAAATTCATCGAGGGCACATAACTTTGGTCTTTTCTAGACAAAAAACTAGGGTCCAAAGAGGCAATGTTACTCCCAGCTAGTTAGTGGTTGGTCAAGCCATATTCCCATCTTATCAACCAATTGACCTCCATTCTACACACCAAACCCACTGAAACTCTGACCTGCTGAGCAGCAGTTCACATATGAAATAGGACATAAAAATCTGAAGTCAGTGTTTGGTCTATGCAATATTTCTTTGCTAATGGTTTTAAATTCCAGTTAAATGTGAGGCAAAAAAAAAAAAAAAGAAACCAAAGGCTAAGGACTGGGGACACAGTAGTGATGTATACAAGAACGAGGGGAGGAAAATGAGAGATGGGAGACAAGAAAACTATAGAAATAAAGAGATGACATTAGAATATACCTGTAGAACAAAGACCAATTACACTGCATGACTTACTACTTATAAATACCTGTTAAGTGTCCACTCATAGTTTTGTCGTGACTATTGAATAACTGCCTGTATTTCAGCCTTGATGACTGAGGAACAGCCCATTCTGCCACTGGAGGGGCGCTGAGAGGAGGACAGGAACAAGAAAAAATGATTCACTTTGAAGAACAGACTATTTTAGTTAATATATTGAAAAAAACAAACAAAACAACAAGACTAAGGCTTACTCTAGATAAGATGACTAGTTTTAACACTTTATTGACTTTCTTATCATCATTCCTCAATGTCCTAGAATAAAGGGATTTTCTAATTTTAAGTTTATAAATTCTTCTCTTGAAATTGATGAACACATTCTTTTTCCTGACTTTCTATAGTAAATTCAACAGATCAAGTGGCTGTTACAAATTACACAGATTGTTTAGTAATTGGAAGGCTCTACAAAATTATGGAACTCTTGGAAGTGAAATAATATGTTCTGTTCAGGTTTTTCTAGAATTCTACATTATAGTTATGATTTAAAAAGCAGTGCTGATGATGGGTGAGGGGAGTGAAGGAAACGGGAAGGATTTTGTGTGAAAAACAATGTATTTGAACTCTGTAAATGAGTCAGTATTTAAAAAAGCAGTACTAACAGAAAATAAATCCTATTTTAAAAGATATTCATTATCTAACTGTGTATATATATGAATATATATGTATATATGTGTGTGTATATGTATATGTATATGTATCTCCAAATCTTAATGAAGTGAAATTATCTCATTCTGGGAAGTTTCAATTCCCATCCATGGAGATCTTCCCAGAGAAGAACAGAACATTTCAAGGGTCAGAGCCAATCAGTGGAGTAAGAATGGAAGGCTCTTTGTTTTCCTGACTGAATCCAAGGCTGACGTTTGTTTGCCAATGGGCCACAGCCCTGACCCGAGGAGCCCCCTGCTAGTAGTCAGTGTGGGTCTGGACCCACTCTGCAGTCAGCTCCTCAGATGCCCATGCCCACAAGTGTCACATTGGTACTGATGGCTTATTAGGAGTCTGGTATCTAAATTGGGTGTTTTTAAAAATATCACTGAACCGACAGAGAAAATGGCATTATAAGTCTAGGGTAGAAAACAAATAATGCTTTATATGCAATAGTCTTGCATTTCAATAAAAAGATCTATTTGTGACATGTAGAATTAAAATTTTAATCATAAACTGACCCTCTTAAAGTACAGCTCTCTATAACCTCCTAATTTATATGTTACCTATGCATTCACACTTACTATGCATATCTAATAAAGAAAAGGAAATAATTTATAAACCCTTTAAAAGTACCTACATAGTTAATTTTCAGGATAAAGATCACAATCTTTCCATGTCACTTACAGCCACTGAAAACCCAATGAAGGGGCAGTTTTAAGTCCATTATGACTTGACAGCTCATAACAACACTATAGCATAACCAATCTTTTGCAATTTTTGCAAAATTTCCATTTTATTAACCATAATTCTTTTCATAAAATCACACGCTTTTACTTATCTCCTTTTTAAAAATAATCCTTTGTAAAAGATCACAAAATTAACTGAAAATAATATCTGATGGTTTCTTAATAAAGAGCACTTACCAAGATCTTTTTTGCTGTGAGTACGTCTGTATTAACTCTCTCATTTTTAAATTAATTATTTTGCCAGTCCTAACTCTTGCTGTTTGTCAAGACGCTAACTATCTTTCTGCTACACACCAGGAAAGCAGGGGTGTTACACACAGAAGTTGTCAAAGATTACACTTATCAAGTCAGTTTTCTGGCAAAGTCATGAGAATCTAAATAGACTAAAAACTTATAAATGACACGGAACCAGTTACATCATGCTAAAGATTTAAATTATCCATACTGAAAAAACCAGCTAATTGTATTAATGTTTGCTAACACTAATGATATAAATTAAGACAGATGTCAAAAATATCCTTGTGTATCAATCAGAAAGAAAAAACCAAAGCCTTAAAACTTCACAGCGCAGTCATAAAAAAAATGGAGTTTAATGATAAATAATGGAAGTTCAAAAGGCAGTATTGCTATGACTAACTATAAGAGGAATGGAGTGTCTCTAGCTTGTCTCCCCTCTCACAATCCTGAGAGAACAACTAGTTCACATAGGTGGCTGCATTGGCTGAATGAGGCACTTGACAAGTAGACAGAGCTAAGAACACATGTTGTAAAATCAGAAAGAAGTCAGTGCTCAGAACTCTCAGCCCAGTCACTTAGCAATCACATTATCATGGGCAGGTTGCTGCATGTCTGAGCCTCTGCATTGGACACAGGGCTTGTCAGTCTGTAAACTGTTAATTTATAAACTGAGAGCCAATTAAAAACAAGGAAAACTGTGGCTCCAATCTTCATGCAAAAATATTTACAAGGAAAATTTAATATAGTGGTACAAAATATTTTTCGCCTCTCCTGGAGTTCTATTTTACTATTTTTAAACATTTTTATTGTTATCTACTTGTTTTCTTAAAAAACAAAACTAAAAAAACCAAACCAAACAAAACCCTAGAAAAACAACAAGCCTTTAAAGGAAATGCCACGTTTTTGATTACTGACATCTTAAGCAAAACATTACTCAAATTAAGGAAATTGTTATTTGCCTTCTACAAAATACAAGATGGCAAAGAATATAACTAATTCATTCTCACACTTATGAGTTAGTCAGATAATAGCTTTACCCAAGACTTCCACTAAAATCCAAATGAACTTACCTAGCCACGTCAAACGACTGTGCCTTCTGTAACTTAGTGTTTAACTGTGACCCTGGGCCAGATCGACTAAAGGAAGAACTCTTTGGCAATGTGGCTGCTGTAAAAGAAATGTTGTATCGTTTAAATCTTACAAAACTTGTCCCCGTTTACAAAAATTATAATGCACAGTCATCAAATCTGAATTAGAAATCACCCCTCCCTTCTTTTACCCTAGACTGAAAACGGTGAATTCTCCTGTGTACTTCCTATTTCCTGGCCTCTTGCCAAAAACATTCCTAGATTACTTGTTCTATTGAAAAACACCTTATTTTTAAGTAGTAATGCTTGCTTCCATAAAATTTTATTCCTCATTAACCTTCAAGTAACATGTTTTATAGGACCCATTGTAACAGCTAACAAGGTAGCAGTTTAAAGATTTAGGATGAGATTTCTTTAGCACCACTGAAAGAGCAGAAATATTAGCTCCAGATGTAAGAGCCAAGAAGTCAAACTGCAGTCTTGACCATTAGCAGGTGATTCTGGGGAGGGGCAGCTTTTAGATCTGATTCTCACTGAGGCTGGTTAGCTGTGTATCACCAAAAAAACACCGAGGCTTAGTCACATTCCCCTCACCATTGTGAAAGAACCACAAAGAAAACAAATGTCAGAGTGTATAGACTAAGTGATTCTATTGGAAAAACCAAACGCACACTTTGTAGCTGCTATCAAATCTGCACTCACAGTCATTCATACAACAAAGAGACTATGTGAGATAAAAAAAAAATAAAAATTTAAAAACCATACATTTAAGGGAGCTCTGGTGGCCTAGTGGCAAGAAGCTGCACTACAATCCCAGAGGTACGTGGTTCGAATCCACCAGGTGCTCTGCTGGAGAAGGAGGGGCAATCTCCTCCTGTACCAGTCAGATACAATTTGATGGTACACACACAAAAAAAAAATTGTAAAATTAAAAAAAAAAACCCAACCAAAAACACCCATACATTTAGATTCTTTTATCACTGGAGACATGTGTTAGCATTCTTAACAAATCCAAGGGTCATAAACACAAATGATTCAAACATAATGCTAAAACCCAGGTTGTCAGTACTGCTGGATTGACTCAGACTTTTCTCAAGCACTGTTTTGTTTGTGTTGTAATTTCCATACTGACATAAATGTATTAGGGAACTCTGTTGGCTTAGTGGGTAGGGATTTATACTGTCAACCAAAAGGCAGTCAGTTTGAATCCACCAGCTGCTCCAAGGAAGAAAGATGGGCAACTTCCTTCCAAGTGATTACAGCCTCTAAAAATCCACTAACAGTCAGTTCCAAGTCAACAGCAATTGAGCCATATAAATTCATTATGCTACCAAGACAATGTTAGCTATGTGCATCTAGAGTTTATGCTTTCTTTTCAGTAAAGGGAAGAAGACTTTGAATATAAGCCTCAAGATAAACTAAACCAGGAACTTTAGTCTTTTCCTTTAAGTAAGTCTATAATACCTTGACTTTAACATATTTAGTTATTTTAATAAACTTCTTTCCAACTCCTGAGAGAAAATGCAGTTTGTTGTTTGCCTGGCTATTTTCCTTTGTATAATTCTACTCCTAAATGAATGGCTTGCTTATTGGCAGTTCTTAGCAGCAAAAAGTGGTAAGTGGTACATAAAATCTAAAAAGTATTCAAACAGAATTAAAATTTCAGTGGCTTTTACTAAGCCTTGAGACACACTAGGTCCTTGACAGAATCCCATTCACAAGCCTTGGTGGTGCTGTCGTTAAGCACTTAGCTATTAACTGTCAGTCAGTGGTCTGAATCCATCGCCTGCTCTCCAAGAAAAAGACATGGCAGTCCGCTCAAGATTACAGCAGTGTAATCTACGGGTATGTTCTAGTCTGTCCTCAGTGTTGCTAGCAGTCTGAACTGACTTGACAGCAGTGGGTGTGAGTTTGGTTTTAGTGCTACACCCTTCATGCAAACATATCCCTTTTATCTTGCTGAAACAAGTGAGAAAATCTTTATAATGTATAGACATTTCTCTTGGAAATAAAATAGCATTTAGTGAAAGAAAAAAAGTAACAGTAAAAGATGAGATGTAAAAAAATCCATGGCCAGTCACATACCAGGATGTGCAAATGCAGGCAGAGGCTGTATGACAGTGGGAGCTCCATTAGCCAGGGGAGGCACTGCTGCTGGAGGGACAGAAGATACAAGGGGTGGAGACATTCCAACCACTGGAATGGAGCCCATTGGCACTGGAGCAACAGCTGTAAGGGGTGGCATGCTGGCAATACCTCCTATACCTACAAAAAAAGAAGCCAAGCAAAAATGAAATTCAAATCACATTTCAACGCTCAACAATAATGTAATGTTACAAGAAGAAAATCACTTTATGGTGGTAATACAGTCTTATTATAAAAATATATTAAAAATATTAAAAGACATAAAAAAATTATGCCAAGGATTATATCAAAAGGACTTAAAATTTTACATAAAGAGGGATTTGCTGACCAAAGATGTGCAACAACAATAACTACAATGGAATAAATAAAAGTCATAAATAGAAATAATTCTACAAGTTCATAATGATATTTAAAAACAAATAACTACATTTTCATTGGTAACCTAAGGAGAGTATCAGGTGATCAACTGATTATCCTAAAAATGAAATAAAGCGGAAAAATGATCTTCCCTTTTATTGTCATTACGTATCATCTCATTGGAACCAACTGACCATCTGGAACCAGCTGGAAAAGCTGACCCTCCAGTGGATTTTTGGAAGCAGTCTATCGCATTGGAGGCAACTGTCCATCTTTCTCCTGCAATTTGATTTGAACCACATACCTTTGGTATGGCAGTGCAGCTCCTTACCACTAGGCCACCTGCGGTCTCTTTACTATATGGTCAGTTTCACAATGTGTCAGCATTATTTATGCTTTCATAATTATAATTATTCTCATTATTTCCATAATTATTCTCATTATTTCCATTCTGTTTGTTCTATTTCCATTGATTCAGCTTCCCTTCCCCCAACCTGCCTTCTCACTTTTGCTTCTGGAAAAATGCTGACCAGTTTGTCTCATTACTCATAGGTTTATTTTACAAGTTAATTGATCATTTGTCTAAAAATTGATCTCTATAAACAGTTTCAGTGTCATGTTCATAAGGGTATCTTAGGATAATAATCTCAGAGAGTCTTCTATTGCTTCCTTAGTTCTGACCTTTTTTGTTTTATCCAGGAATTTTGTTCTGTATTCTTTCTCTTTTCTCTCATTTTTGTTTCCGGCCTGTGCCAACTTCTATCTTCTTTTAAATAAAATGTCTGTTTTAGTATACCATTTAAGTGGTTCTGTAGATTCACTTTCTTTTACAATTTTTGAAGTGACTCTCTTGAGTGGGTGCTCTACGGAAATATACATGTTAATAAATCATAATACTAATTAGATAAATATTGAGTTAATATTGGCAAAATAGGGCCTTTTAACACCAGTGTAGCTCCATTTCCTTTCCCTTGTGCTAATATAAAGAAAGTCTGGTGGCACAAGGGCTACAGCACTTAACTGCTAAGGGAAAGGTTAGCAGTTTGAATCTACTAACCAGTCAACTTTGTAATATGTGGCAGTCTGCTCCTATAACAATAAACAGGCTTAGAAACCCTCGATGGTTCTACCCTGTCATACAAGAATGTTAGGAGTAGGACTTGACTTGACAATAATGAATATGGCTTTGGCTTGTTCTATCATGTGCATTATGTCTACATATGTAATAAAATGAACAATAGTTCAAAAATTATTGCCTTATATTATCAAATCTTTTCAAGAAAAAAATGATAAAAATAAATAAAAATTCATAGTCTTTTATAGTCACCCACATATTTAGCATTTCTGATGCTTGTCATTTCTTGCAACAGAGTCAGCTTACCATCTAGCATCAATTATTTTCATCTTGAAAGACTTTATTATTCATGATTGTTTTTCTAGTAATACCTTCTCTTTGTTTACTTTGCAATGGTACTGCTTCATTTTCCTTAAGTTATGTTGCTGTTGTGTTCTCTTGAGTCGGAATCAAAACATAACTGACCCTCCAGTGGGTTTTCAGAGATTATAAATCTCAGGAGAGGAGCCTGTCCATCTTTCTCTCATGGAATAGCTGGTGGATGTAAAACCGTTTGACTTTGGTTTGTCAGCCAACTCCATGCCACTAAACCACCAGAGCGCATCCCTTTTTAAAAAAAGTTGTATTTTATTAATTTTTTTGTGTGTACCATCAAATTAGATCTGACTGGTACAGGAGGAGATTGCCCCTCTTTTTCCTGTAGAGTTCGGTGGATTTGAACCGTGTACCTCTGGGATTACAGTGCAGCTTCTTTGCACTAGACTACAGAGCTCCTTTTTAATGTCTAAGTTAGCTATATAAATTTTTTTCTCTTAAACAACTATGAAATATCTCACCCTAGTCAGAAATGCAAAATTTAACAGAACACCAAGCAACAAATTCTGGTGAGGTTGTGGAGAAACTGGAACCCTTATTCACTGTTGGTGGGAATGTAAAATAGTGTAACCACTGCGGAAGGCGGTATGGCGCTTTCTCAAAAAGTTGCAAATAGAGATACCATTCGACCCAGCAATTCCACTACTGGGAATATACCCCAAAGAGACCATAACTGCCACCCAAGCAGATATATGCACACCCATGTTTATCATGGCTTTGTTCACAATGGCAAGGGGTTGGAAACAACCTAAGTGCTTTGGACAAAGAATGGATAGAGAAGCTGTGGTATATTCACACAATGGAATACTACACTGCATTGAAAAACAAGGAACTCATGCAATATTATTTAAAATGACCCTGGAGGTCATTATGCTGAATCAAGTATCTCAGTCACAAAAGGACAAATAAAAAGGACCCTGGAGGACATTATGCTGAATCAAGTATCTCAGTCACAAAAGGACAAATACTGTGTGGTGCCACTGTTGTAAAGCAGGACTGACCTTAGAGTTGGGAGGAGACTGAGAAGGATGGGTTCGATAATGTATACTGCATTGAAACAGATGAGGGAGAAAACTGTTTAAGAGGGAAAATTATTAGGTACTTTTGTCATCACAGGAGTCCAAAGTGAAGGATATACAGTGGAGTGGACCTGGGGGGAGGGATGGTAAAATAATGAAAGAAGTTTTCTTTTACTTTTCCAAGAAGATAGTGTACTGGGAGGGAGGGTTGGGGGGGGGGAAGTGCAACAATGAATGAATGGAAATCCAAAGTTTCTGTACATTTTCACTGAAATTAATAATAAATTTAAATTTTTTTTTTTCTTTCAACGTCTGTACTTCAACATCGTGTACTTCCGAAGATACCTCGTTGGGTGAGGGCAGAATTAGAAAACTCATACAATGCTAAATATCTGCAGAAAATATGGTCCTGTTATTTCTTTAAATCTGAGTAGTGTTCTACCTTTATTCCTTCAAATATTTTCTGACCTTTTTATTCTCTCCTCCATAATCGTAAACGGGTGTGCCTGATCTTGTCCCACAAGACTATGAGGATTCAATAATTATTCTTCTCATCTTTTTGCTCTGTGTTCTTCACATTAGATCATTTCCATCATTCAAATTTACAGATTCTTTTATCCCCTACTACTACCTTGAATCTGTTGATATTCCTAGTAAAACTTTCATTTCAGTTACAGTTTCTTTTCAACTTTTTCATTTTATTTTCTTTTAGGATTTTTATCTTTTCTGAGAATCTCAGTTGATTCACTATTGTCACACTTTCTTTGAGATCTTTAAACATGGCTCCTTTAGTTCCTGAAACATAACTGTTGCTTTGCAGCTTTTATCTCTTGAATCCAACATTTGAGTGTTTTGGGGTGTGTTTTTGTTTTTTCTCCTGAGTATGGGTCACAGATATTTTTAATAGTTCATCACTTTTAGTTGAAAATAAAACATGCCTGGTGGGAAAATATGTCTTCACCATAGTGAATAGCTCTTGATATCCCAGCTCAGTTGGTGTTTTTAAACTCTTGTTTTTATTTTGAAGCCTGGCTTCCTAGTGACCGTCTCTGTTTGTGCAGCCTTGTGGTCAAGCACTAGGAAAAGTTGTGCTCAAACATACAAACTCAGTAAGGCTTCTCTCCTCTGCTGATTTCTCTGTAGGTCAGCAAAGCAATGCACACAGTTCAGTTCATTGTAAAGTTTGCCACAGAGCCTTTTGCAGAGCCTTTTGGTCCTTTCTTCCACAAATTCACGCAGCCTAAAAGATGGCCAGTTTGTAGTATGGAATCTCATTTGCCTCAGTTGCATATGTACAAAAATGCAAGTGGCCTCGCCATGACTCTCCCTTCTCACCTGCTGCTGCGCTATCACTTCCAGTGTCAAAGCCGATCTCCTCTGGCCATAGCCAGAAATGTCATGTATAATGGGTTTGTTCTAATCTATAGGCATCTCTTTTCCCTGTCTTTTCCTTACAATGTACCCAAGAAGATTCAGGCCATGTGACCCACGGGTCTTCTCAATTTTGTAGACTACATCCATAGGGAGTTGTACTGTGAATAGTGGCTCTAAAAAAAGAGAAAGATAGGCAACTCCCCCTGTGTAATTTATAGCTTCCAGAAAATCTGTTGGAGGGTCAGCTAAAAGATGGCTCTGAATGGACAGCGGTGACTATTTCCTATAAACTGACATTCAGATCCAAAGTCTTGCTCAGATTCAGATTTTTCTCTTTGGAGATAGAAGAAGAATTGATGCCTTTGAGCTGTGGTGCTGTTGAAAAGTATTGAATGTACACTGGACTGTGAAGAAAACAAACAGATTAATCCTGGAGAGGGTTAAACCAGGCTACTCCTTGGAGGCAAGGATTCTGGGGCTTCGTCTGACATACTTTGGACATGTTGCAAGGAGAGACAGGTCCTTGGAGAGGGACATCATGCTTGGGAAGGTGGAGGGACAGCGCAGGAGGGGAAGACCCTCTATGAGATGGATTGATTCAGTGACTGGGGTAATTGAAATGGGTGTGTCAGAGACAGTGCAATTGGCACAGGATAAAGCAGGGTTTAGGGCTGTTGTACACAGGGTCGCTATGAATCGCAAGCGACTCGACGGCACATAACAACAACAACAACAAGACTGCTTGAGACATATAGTATTGGTATATCTGTCTGTCTTGATTATCCAATCAAAGAGCTAACATAAGAAAGGCACAATAAATGTTTGATTTCTTTTGTTAACCGATTTTCAAGATAGTTTTCTAACATCCACCTATCGTTGTTGTATACTATCAAGTGGAAATCAACCCAGAGCTGCCCCTC